AATGCTTTCTAATAGACATTGGGGACGTCTTTGATAAAAAATATCCCAACCAAAGAATATAACGAACCTTAAAAAACCTGGAAACATAACCTAGAGGAACATGTAATTTAAACACAATCAGTATTCCAGTAATAACAGGAGTACTGTGTATGATTAATAATAAAACTGATAGAAACATTAAGAAAATCCCAGAAAATAGTAATTTTTCTTTTTTAATTTCTGATTTTTATTGTTTCTTCTTGTTGGGGATCCCGAGATGAAATCCGGTCTCAAATGAATGACAAACGCAGTAATAAAATATAGCAAATAAATGTATTGACGCAATAATACAATTGGTAATACGGTTAGTAGATCCAGAAATGCGGTTAGTAGCAATAATAATATATATACAATCTGGGAAATTCAGTATCGAAGTATGACTTCCTTCTGAGTCTACGTGCTCGCATCTGTGACTCCTACAAAGCGGTTACCTCACACTCTCACTCTCACTCTCTCACTGTATCACTGTCACTCTCTATCACTGTCTGGGTATTCCCCGGCAGCAGTACAAGTACACACAGGGCGAGTCCACTTGTATGAAAAAGGGATGGACCCCTTAACACTTCTTAATAATGTTTTTCTTTTTCTCATATTATTTCATACTCAGTAATCTCTTTCGGCTTAGTGGCTTTATAACCTTGCTTGGTGTCCTTTTGACACCAAGCAAGGTAATAAAGCTACTAAGCCGAAAAAAACTACCTTCATTAACTGCAGTGCAAAAGTTTGTGCTTATATGCATCGCACACATTTTCAGAAAAAAACTCTTACTCAATTTAATATGCTCAATAAATTTCTAAGAAAAATCATCCTTTACTTCGTGTCTCTGATAAAAGACTTGATAAAGAATTGCATGAAATGGCAATTAAGGAAACTGGAAATGTTAATTATTTTGCTATTATCATAAAGTAATCAATAATTAATCAAACGGAGAATAAATATTCTAACTTATAAGTGAAATAAAAACAAAAAACGGCACTGGATATAGAACAACAATATGGATGGTATTGCTCGCGTGAACGATTGGGTAGAAGTTTAGCATTCTGGCCATGAAACCCGCCTCGAATATCTTTCATCATTGTTGATTTTTCAGTGACTTCTTTATAGTATCGTCCTGGGGAGACAACCTTAGTGTACGCCACAACTGGTAAATGCCAGAAAACCATAACACAGTTTAATCTAAGTCTTGTGAATTAAATTACTTATGTAAAACTGTCCAGAAGTCGACGATGGTTGTACGAAGTCGCAAGTTATTCCGATCGAGCATTTGGACATACCTCAAAACTATTTATCAAGCCAAATATTGCACTCTCTCCCAGAAACAGTAACTAATGTCCCCGCTCAGCGTAGCTGCAGTATAAACAACAGGTTGGCACTGTGATTCTTGAAAAACACAAACTTTCCTGAGTAGCGTCTGCAACAGGGATTAGCTAGCCAGTATAGCAGACAGGTAGACCCGGACACGAGTGTCTCGCTATACCGATGGATGGTCGGCTGTAATAACGTATTGCTGATGATTACTGTAACCAACTAAATTATCTTACTAAATATGAACTGAATTTATTTGGCACATTTCTTCTTGGATCAATGGTTACCGAAAAGTTTACGCAAGTAAAGAGCTTCATCACTGGATACTTCATTAAATTACATAGTAAATGCCTTTTGATTTCCTGCTTGTTGGAAATCCTCATCGATTGTTCCAGTCTTTAAGAACTCGGGTGAATCTTCCAACTATCGGCCTATTAGCTTATTTGGTAAGCTACTAGAATCCCTAATCAACACTGATTTAGTTAGGCGTCTCACATAGCAGTGCCATCTTTCAGACAAGCAATGTAGTTTTCGTTTCTCGAAGTCAACTGCTTAAGGATTATTGCGGAAAAAACAATCAAAATTTAGATAAGAATGGTGAAACTCGGGCTGTTGCTTTGGACATCTTGAAAACCTTCTGCAGGGGCTGATTTACCGGTCTTCTTCACAAGTTGAAAAGTTATGGTGTCTCCAGACGAATTTTTGAATTGATTCAGTCTTTCTTAACAAACTGTGAAATGGCCACTCGTGTTAGACAATTTTCTCTCCCGAATCTATCTTGTATAGACATACGGCTACCATTCGTCCATGCATAGAATATTGCTGCCAGATTTGGTCCGGTGTTCCTCCTATTTATTTAGAGATTTTTGATAAAATCCAAAGAAGAATCAGCAATATAATTGGCCATGTGCTCTAGTCTCGGCTTCGGTCAATTTCTCATCGCCGTAAAGTTGCTTTCTTGTGCTTCTATAAATACTTACATGGTAATTATTCGGATGAGCTCTTGACTATGGGATCTAGACTTTATGAATTCAAGCGCAGTAATAGATGGCACTAAGATTCCATCAATTTGCAACTGAGTTGACTAGATGCAACCGTAAGTTCTAAGCTAACAGTATCTTTTCTCGCACTTTTTGCTTGTGGAACTCTCTTTATGCTTTCCAACCAAATTTGATCTTCAGAAAGTTTCAAATCAATGTCAGTCGTTATCTACTGTCTTCCAGATCACTCTTCTATTGTTCTCGCTCCTTAATAATGTTCCTGTGTTCTAATTCTTTCACATCAAGTAATCCCTTGTATTTTAGTGACTTTACTACTCTTCTTGGTGTGGATTTTATAACAAATAAATTTAACCATGTGCTAGACTATTCAAACCAGCTTCTGTAATATTGGACATTGGGGTGGTGTAATTGGTAATGTCTCGGAATTGTTAATCATAGAACCGAGTTCTAAATCCAGTTGGGTTCGTTATATTCACTTACGCGCTAATACTCTTGAAAAAGTTATGATTTCACCGTTTCTCCCCCAGATATGGTTTAATTATTACAACTTGTAGCACTAAATCATCATTCTATCAAAAGAAGTTCTTACAATCTAAAAATATTTTGTGGCAAAACCTGCAAAGGGTTGAAAACGAATCAATCAAGAGATTATTCAAATCATTATAAATATATATTTTATCTTCGATCAATGATTAGCACATCACTTCTATAATGAGTTTGTTTGTCACAAGGTACCAATAATAGATTATTACCTATAATAGATTATTACCAATAATAGATTATTACCGAAATTTCTCGAAAATAATACGCACCCATAAATAATACGTAGCTTAACAAATGATCAAAAAAATTAAGAATCTATCCTTATATATAATACGCATCTATAAATTTTATCAAAAAACAAAAAAAAATAATTGCGAGGACATTTTGTCGACGCCGAATTTATTGTAAAATCGATTCAGGAATCTTGGGATTCCATCAGTGAGGATGTTATAAAGAAAGGTTTCAAGATGTCTCACGACAGCCATGGATGGCTCTGAAGATGACATCCTTGGGCAAGAGAATGAAGAGGCTGAAGATAATTTTGAACAGGACGAAGATAATATTGTGAATGATAATTTGTTTAATGACAATTTAGATGTTGATTCTATAATAGAAAGCGGTGGCAGTGGTGGTGGTGGTAATGGTGGTGATGACGGTGATGATGATGATGATGGTGGTGGTGGTGGTGGTGGTTTTGGTGGTGATGATTAAAATTTCAATAAAATTTTAACTTGATATCCTCTTTTCGAAACAGGAAAAATGACCGCCAAAACATAATTTACCCACCATTCTTTGCTCTTGAGTATTTACTATACAGAGGGGTGGGAAAGTTTTGTATGTGAAAGTGGGTGATGATGTAAAAAAAGGTTGGGAGTCTCTGTGTTAGAAGGACGAATCTATACCATTTGGACTTATACCATTTAAAAAAAAATCAACTTTGTATTTCCGATGTATTCGAAATTTAATGTTTGTTTTATATGTTACATGTTACTGTACTTTTAGATAGTTTAAATTGTTTTGTTACTAATTAATAAGCTTTTGGCATGGACATTCTAGAATAAGCAGAACTCATTATTTTCTTTTTCAATTTGTTCATATTGTTATAGCTTAGCATTCCAGATCAACAATATTTCTTTTAGAAAATTTTAGAAAGGTTAATAGGGCGTTCATTTTCCGTTGTAAATTGATTGCTGTACAGAAGCCCAAACAGTGCTCACAAGTTCCGATTTCAAGCAGCTGCGAAACAGCGTTTGATCATTTGTTACTAATGATTGAGCATATTAGACAACGATTTTTTTAAATGTCAAGAAATCACGTTGTATGAGCATATTTTGGGGCTTCCGTATATAGATTAATTTAAAATGAATTTATATAGCAAACTGGATCCATTATTAACTTTTATAAATTTTAATTAAAAAATATAGAATTTTTAATATAAAACCATATGAGGAAGATTATTAAAAAATGATTATTTCTTATTGCAATGCTTATTCTAAAATGCCCCCGATTTTTTAAACCGTTATAGCTTTCTCTGATTATACTTAACACAAGAATTCAATGAATATTTGCCATAAAAGAAACAAATTTTTTTTTATATCTCACAGACTTCTTGGAGCCATATTAAATATTTAAAATGTTGGTAAGGCGTTATTGACCATTATTGATAAACTCAGTTATTGTTGACATAATTAATTAATTAATTAATTAATTAATTAATTATATTTTTTAATTCATGGTTATAATTTTTTTTTTCTAATTTTCAAAGATATTGCTATATTTTTTTATACAGCCTTCGATGATTTTCTGCTAATGAAGATGTTTTTTTTTCCGTTGTCAAGACTCTCACTGATCCCAAATCGAAACATTGCTTCACCTTTGCATTCTATTCATATTCTTATAAAATCCTTCGTCCAAATTATAACAATCCCTGTTCTTGCTTCTGTTCTTTTAGAGGCCAATTTTGGATGCCCATGAGTTTCTATAAACAGAACTTTCACAGACTAAAATCGATACACTCCTTGCAATCGATTACTGGTCACAGTTTTGGCATGTAAAGCAACTCCTTCTTCCTCAACCCTCAACTTTAAACAAGAGGTTGCCAGCCTACATGGAATGGCGAATCGATTTGAGGGGAAAGTCCGGGTTCAGATCGGCAGGGTCGGCTATCTTCTCTCGTCACCCCTGAGGTCAAACCGCCATCTTCGTTCTGTTCTCTGTGGTGGGGAACAACATACGAAGAGGAAATAACAGCGTGCCAACGGCTGGCACATTGCTAGACTTTTAGTCGACTGGTCTTAGTGTAATTCGGCAGCTGTGAATCTTGGCAGAAGAAAATGGCAATCCAGAGAGTGGCTTATTTGGAGTGTTGGCCAGCAAATATATACGAAGTTAGGTCTAAGAAATTCAACAGACGTGCTGATATACAAGAGTAGATGTGCTATTTCACTACTTGTTTGCTTTCTTTCTTTTAGGCATTTCTTTTTGCTTTCTATTTTTTTTCTATTTTTTCTTTTTATTTCGTTCGTTGTTCCTTTCTTCTCTTCTTTATTTCATCCATTTATACTTTTTATCAAATTTTTCTTCTTTTCTTTCTTTCTTTCTCATTTTTTTAATCTATACTTTTGTCATACCTCTCTTCTTTCTATCTTTTTTTCTATACGTTTTGCCATGTCTCTTTTCTTTCCCTCTTTCTTTCATTCTACACTTTTTCTCATATCTTTCTTTCTTTCATTCTACACTTTTTCATACCTGTTTTATTTTTCCTTTTTTCGTCATACACTTTAGGTCATATTTCTTTCGTTCTTTCTTTCAACCATTCTACACTTTTTCATACCTCCCTTCTGTCATTATACACTTTTCGTCATATATCTTAATTTCTTTCTTTTTTCCTTTCATTCTTTCATTCTACACTTTTTCATGCTTCCTTTCTTTCTTTCTTTCTTTCTTTCATTATACACTTTTCGTAATATCTCTTTCCTTCATCATCCATTCATTCATTGTACACTTTTATTCTTTTATTATACATGTTTGGTTAATCACTTTCCTCCCTTCTTTCTTTCTTTGTTTTTTTCTTTCTTTCTTTCTTTTATTCATTCATGTTTTATCATGTCTCTCTCCTTTCCTTCTTTCATTTTTGCACATGGAACCTCGACGGGGAAAATGGAAACAAAAGGGACACAAATACTTAACATCAGAAAGACACATGAAATTTCTAGAGCACTTAAAGATGAGTTGAAAAATTTTATAGTCACATGACAGTTTGACGGAGGCAGAGGAAAACCAACGCATAACCAACGTAACAAGCTTGAGTAAGTGGATGGCGGAACAAGGATTAAGGGATGCAACAGAATATCAAAATCTATAAAGGACAGAAACTTGTGGAGAGCCATGAACACTAAATTCTTGAGGGACACGGAAAGAAGAAAAAGAAGAAGAAGAAAAGATTGGCAGTTAGATCACAGTTTACTGTTGGAATTGCTAAGTATAACTCGCATTCTCGCATGTGAATCTCTTTTCCAGCCTCTCAACAACGATCAGCAAAAATTGAAATGCAACACCAATCATTATTTTCTGTCTACTGGAATCGATTTATTATGGTTACCATTTCTCTTCAGTAAAGTGGAGGCACGTTAGAGCAATGGATAGTGGTTCGGACTGAGAAATCGGAGAGCCGAGTTCGAATTTCAATTGAATCTATTACATTAAATTACGTGCTAATACGCTTGGAAAAGTTATGAATCCTCGAAATCTCAACCCAGCTATGGGTAAATAGCAGGACAGGACAGGTTGACTGGCAACTTGTCTACTTCAGAAACCAGCTATGGGTAAATAGCAGGACAGGCCGGGTTCTGTAACCTTGGCTGGCAACTGGTCTACTGCAGAAACCAGCTATGGGTAAATAGCAGGACAGGACGGGTTCTGTAAAATTTGCCTGCAACTGGTCAACTGCAGAAACCAGCTATGGGTAAATAGTAAGACAGGACGGATTTTGTAACATTGGCTGGAAACTGGTCAACTGCAGAAACCAGCTATGGGTAAGTAGCAGGATAGGCCGGGTTCTGTAACCATGGTTGGCAACTGGTCTACTGCAGAAATCAGCTATGGGTAAATAGCAGGACAGGCCGGGTTCAGTAACCTAGGCTGGCAACTGGTCTACGGCAGAAAAAAGCTATAGGTAAATAACAGGACAGGACAGGTAATGTAACCTTAGCTGGCAACTGGTCTACTGCAGAAACCAGCTATAGGTAAATAGCAGTACAGACCGGGTTCAGTAAACTTGGCTGGCAACTAGTCTACTCCAAAAACCAGCTATGGGTAAATACCAGGACAGGCCGGGTTTTGTAACCTTGGCTGTCAAATAATCTACTGAAGAAACAAGATATGGGTAAATAGCAGCACAGGCCGGGTTCTGTAAACTTGGCTGGCAATTAGTCTACTGAAGAAACCAACTATGCATAAGTCGCAGGACAGGCCGGGTTCCGTAACCTTGGCTGACAATTGGTCTACTGCAGTAACCAGCTATGTGTATATAGTAAGACAGGCTGGGTTCTGTAAACTTGGCTGGCAACTGGTCTACTGCAGAAACCAGCTATGGATAAATAGTAAGACAGGCCGGGTAATGTAACCATGGCTGGCAACTGGTCTACTACAGAAACCAGCTATGGGTAAATAGTAAAACAGCCCGGGTTTTGTAATCTTGGCTGGCGACTGGTCTACTGCAGAAACCAGCTATGGGTAAGTAGCAGGATAGGCCGGGTTCTGTAATCTTGGCTGGCAACTGGTCTACTGCAGAAACCAGCTACCGGTAAGCAACAGGACAGGCCGGGTTGTATAAACGTGGCTGACAACTGGTTTACTGCAGAAACCAGCTATGGGTAAATAGCAGGTCAGGCCGGGTTCTGTAAACTTGGCTGGCAAATGGACTACTGTAGAAAAAAGCAATGGGTAAATAGCAGCACAGGCCGGGTTCTGTAAACTTGGCTGGCAACTACTCTACTGCAGAAACTAGCTATGGCTGAATAGCCGAACAGCCCGGATTCTGTAAACTTGGCTGGAAACTAGTCTACTGCAGAAACCAGCAATCCATAAGTCGCAGGACAGGCCGGGTTCCGTAAACTTGGCTGACAGCTGGTCTACTGCAGAAACCAGCTATGGGTATATAGTAAGACAGGCCGGGTTCTGGAAACTTGGCTGGCAACTGGTCTACTTCAGAAAGCAGCTAGGGGTAAATAGTAAAACAGGCCGGGTTCTGTAACCTTGGAGGGCGATTGCTCTACTGCAGAAACCAGCTATGGGGAAGTAGCAGGATAGGCCGGGTTCTGTAAACTTGGCTGGCAAATAGTCTACTGCAGAAACAAGCTATGGGTAGGTAGCAGGAGAGGCCGGGTTGTGTAAACATGGCTGACAACTGGTTTACTGCAGAAACCTGCAATGGGTAAATAGCAGGACAGGCCAGGTTCTGTAAACTTGGCTGACAAGTGGTCTACTGTAGAAACCAGCTATCGATAAGTAGCTGCAAAGGCCGGATTCTATAACATTGCCTGGCAACTGGTCTACTGCAGAAACCAGCTATGGGTAAATAGTAAAACAGGCCGGGTTCTGTAACCTTGGCTGGCGAATGGTCTACTGTAGAAACCAGCCAAGGGTAAATAGCAGGACAGGTCGGTTTCTGTAACCTTGGCTGGCAACTGGTCTACTGCAGAAACCAGCTATGGGTAAGTAGCAGGACAGGCCGGGTTCTGTAACATTGGCTGGCAACTGGTCTACTGCAGAAACCAGCTATGGGTAAATAGCAGGATAGGCCGGGTTCTGTAAACTTGGCTGGCGACTAGTCTACTGCAGAAACAATCTATGGGTAAATAGCAGCACAGTCCTGGTTCTGTAACCTTAGATGTTAACTGGTCTACTGCAGAAACCAGCTACCGGGAAGTAGCAGGACAGGCTGGGTTATGTAACCTTGGCTGACAACTGGTCAACTTGTTTACTGCAGAAAACAGCTATGGGTAAATAGCAGGACAGGCTAGGTTCTTTAACCTTGGCTGGCAACTGGTCTACTGCAGAAAAAAGCTATGGGTAAATAGCAGGATAGGTCGGGTTTTGTAAACTTGGCTGGCAACTAGTCTACTGCAGAAAAAAGCTATGGGTAAATAGCAGGACAGGCTGGGTTCTGTAACCTTGGCTGGCAACAAGTCTACTGCAAAAACAAGCTATGGGTAAGTAGCACGACAGGCCGGGTTCTGTAACCTTAGCTGGCAACTGGTCTACTGCAGAAACCAGCTCTGTATAAATAGCAGGACAGACCGGGTTCTGTAACCTTGGCTGGCAACTGGTCTACTGCAGAAACCAGCCATGGGTAAATAGCAGGACAGGCCGGGTTCAGTAACCAAGGCTGGCAACTGGTCTACGTCAGAAAAAGGCTATGGATAAATAGCAGGACAGGTCAGGTACTGTAACCTTTGCTGGCAACAGGTCTACTGCAGAAATCAGCTATCGGTAAGTAGCAGGACAAGCCGGGCTGTGTAACCTTGGCTGACAATTGGTCTACTGCAGAAACCAGCTATGGGTAAATAGCAGCACAGGCCGTGTTCTGAAACATTGGCTGGCAACTAGTCTACTGCAGAAACCAGATAAGGGTAAATAGCAGGACAAGCTGGGTTTTGTAACCTTGGCTGGCAACTAGTCTACTGCAGAAACAATCTATGGGTAAATAGCAGCACAACCCGGGTTCTGTAGCCTTAGCTGGTAACTGGTTTACTGCAGAAACCAGCTACCGGTAAGAAGCAGGACAGGCCGGGTTCTGTAACCTTGGCTGACAAATGGTCTACAGCAGAAACAAGCTATGGGTAAGTAGCAGGACAGGCCGGGTTCTGTAACCTTGGCTGGAAACAGGTCTACTACAAAAACCAGCTAACGGTAAGTAGCAGGAAAGGCCGGGTTCTGGAACATTGGCTGGCAACTGGTATAATGCAGAAACCAGCTATGGGTAAATAGCAGGACAGGCTGGGTTCTGTAACCTTGGCTGGCAACTAGTCTGCTGCAAAAACCAGCTATGGGTAAGTAGCACGACAGGCCGGGTTCTGTAACATTGGCTGGCAACTGGTCTCCTGCAGAAACCAGCTCTGGATAAATAGCAGGACAGACCGGGTTCTGTAACCTTGGCAGACAACTGGTCTACTGCAGAAACCAGCAATTGGTAAATAGCACGACAGGCCGTGTTCAGTAACCTAGGAGGGCAACTGGTCTACGGCAGAAAAAAACTATGGGTAAATAGCAGGACAGACCGGGTCTGTAATCTTTGCTGGCAACAGGTCTACTGCAGAAACCAGCTATCGGTAAGTAGCAGGACAACCGAGTTGTGTAACATTGGCTGACAACTGGCCTACTGCAAAAACCAGCTATGGGTAAGTAGCACGACAGGCCGGGTTCTGTATCATTGGCTGGCAACTGGTCTACTGCAGAAACCAGCTACCGGTAAGTAGCAGGACAGGCCGTGTTGTGTAACCTTGGCTGACAAATGGTTTACTGCAGAAACCAGCAATGGGTAAATAGCAGGATATGCTTGGTTCTGTAACCTTGGCTGGCAACTAGTCAACTGCAAATACCAGCTATGTGTAAGTAGCACGACAGGCCTTGGCTGACAACTGGTCTACTGCAGAAACCAGCTATGAGTAAGTAGTAGGACTGGCCGGGTTCCGTAACCTTGGCTGACAACTGGTCAACTGCAGAAACAAGCTAAGGGTAAATAGTAGGATAGGCCGGGTTCTGTAAACTTGGCTGGCAACTAGTCTACTGCAGAAACAATCTATGGGTAAATAGCAGCACAACCCGGGTTCTGTAGCCTTAGCTGGTAACTGGTTTACTGCAGAAACCAGCTACCGGTAAGAAGCAGGACAGGCCGGGTTCTGTAACCTTGGCTGACAAATGGTCTACAGCAGAAACAAGCTATGGGTAAGTAGCAGGACAGGCCGGGTTCTGTAACCTTGGCTGGAAACAGGTCTACTACAAAAACCAGCTAACGGTAAGTAGCAGGAAAGGCCGGGTTCTGGAACATTGGCTGGCAACTGGTATAATGCAGAAACCAGCTATGGGTAAATAGCA